CGTACTCCTCGTTGTGGGTGTACCAGTCGGGTCCGCAGGAGCAGCCTAGGCCTTCTGGGATGTACCTGCACACAGCGGCTTCCCGTCAGCCAGAGGAAGCACCAGAAGCTGCTCTGTCAGTGGCGGCACACCTACCTGCTCCAGCCAAAGAAAGGCGGCGAGGCGCAGCCCACCCCCATGCACCAGGTGAAGACCACGGCGGCGGCAGCGTGGGAGCTGCCGAACTTGAAGGCTCCGAACGGCTTACAGATCACCAGGTACCTCTCGAAGGATAGCACGGCGAGCGACCAGGACGTCACCAGACCTGCAGGAAGAACGTCATCATCCTCATCAGCCAGCTTCACCCACCAGCCCGGACCTCTCACCTGTCGGCCATACCTGCCACGGCGCCCATGGCCGCTTCCAATGCACACAAGGTGTAGCCCAGGAAGTAGTAGCCCCTCAGACTGGCCACGAACACCTGGCTGACGGAGAAGGTGACGAAGATGAAGCCAGCGAAGGAAATGTTGACCAGGATGTAGTTGAGAGGAGCTCGGAGCTTCTTGTACTTGGCTGTGGCCAAGAGGACCAGCAGGTTCAGCGGCGTTCCCGCAAAGAAGACGAAGCCCATGAAGAGCGCCTGAAGGTGAAAGGCCCACGCCGGAGCCAGGTAGTGTTGGGACCCCTCGAAGGGGTCCACCTTGGAGATGTTCTCGTACAGGTGAAAATGTTTCCCCATCTTTACCCTGAGTTCCTCTGACCTCAGCGAGCGTCTTCAGCCTCTTTATATTCACCCATAAACCACTTAGAGCAAAGATAATCCGGCCAGCTTTTCCCAAACTTTACGGATTAAATCCTTCTGACGCTTTAATCTTCTTACGGAGAAAAAACAATGAAAACACAACAGGAAGTTTGTTTTCAGACACAGTTTGGTTTTAGAGGTTGAATCTGAGATTCTCCTCATGAAAACTTCAGCCAGTGGGTTAGACTTCTGGATCAGGTTAACCCTGTTCAACAAGCACACTGACCTCCAGATTAACACGTCATGGCGGTTTTCTCCAGGGTCCACGCTAGTCACTCACTTTTCACCAACACGTCCTTTATGTAACTGGATAGTTACTGAAATGATCTGAATTATTTTGAACAGTTTTACTTAAATCGCCTCCAATTAAAAATGACTTTCTTGTTGAGGGCAAACCACTGGATGAACCTTGTTTATATGTGAGAGTTATTAAAGAAGTATTTTGTGCTGCTGGTAAAATGCTGCGCATCAACTGATGAAGAGGATCAGTGATGAAGAGCAGCTGGCCTGCCGGTAAAACCCAGTAAGAACCTTTACTTTTCCGTGACTTCAGGTCTAATCCGGATGTTAAGACGTACCTGAGCGGGTCATCCACCTTAATCCGGCCCAATCCCGCAAACAAAGAGCTTAGACTCTAATGACTCTACAGCTCCTGCTCCTCCTGGTTCTCCTGCTGCGGCTCCACTCTGAGCAGGAGGTCAGTAGGATGCGGAGCAGCTCCCGCTCTGCCTCTTCATCACTTCATCTTCCTCTGCTGCTGGTTCTGCTCCCGGTTCTCCTCCGTAGCCGAGGCTGTATCGTAACCAGGCTGTGAAGGCTCGAGCATGGGTATGATACGACCTCAGTTCGCTGGAGCCTCTCTGCGTGTTTCAGCTCTCGGGTTCAGGTATGATCAGGAGTTTCGCGGTTTGTTTCTCTGCAGCTGATTGATGTTGAAGTGCGGTAATAAAGTGTGAATAAAGCCTCTCTGTGTGATTCTGGAGAATTTTTGTCGTCAGTGTTTGCAGTTAGGATGAATGTTGAATGATGAAGCTGCGCTGCTTTAAGGGACTCTGTCCCTCCGCAGCATCAGGGACCTTCTGCCTCTCAGGTCATGACCTGCAGGAACGAGTCTCTGTGGGGTTCGGGTTCCCACAGACGCCGCAAAAACCCAGAGATCCTGGCAGGAGCCTGAGTGGAACCTGAACCTGAACTTCTAGAACCTGCAGAGAAAACAGGAGATTAAACAATCAGAGCTTTCAGTTTGTGGGTGACAAACCGGATCTGGATCTGGATCTGGATCAGGATCAGGCACTGGATTTGGATCTGGATCAGGATCAGGATCAGGATCTGGATCTGGATCAGGATCAGGATCAGGATCTGGATCAGGATCTGGATCAGGATCAGGATCTGGATCTGGATCAGGATCTGGATCTGGATCTGGATGAGGATCTGGATCTGGATCAGGATCAGGATCAGGATCTGGATCTGGATCAGGCACTGGATCAGGATCAGGATCTGGATCAGGATCTGGATCTGGATCTGGATCAGGATCTGGATCTGGATCTGGATCAGGCACTGGATCTGGATCAGGATCTGGATCAGGATCAGGATCAGGATCTGGATCAGGATCTGGATCAGGATCAGGATCTGGATCAGGATCTGGATCAGGCACTGGATCTGGATCAAGATCTGGATCTGGATCAGGGTCTGGATCAGGATCTGGATCTGGATCAGGGTCTGGATCAGGATCTGGATCAGGATCAGGGTCTGGATCAGGATCTGGATCAGGTAGGTTATCACCCTGGACGCTGCAGAGACCAGAACCGATGTGAACCTGAGAGGTTTGAGTTGCTGCTCGTATATTGGTGGATAAATATTATTACAAATAAGGAATTCATGGCACTACTAGTCCCATGAATTAATTATTATTATTATTATTATTAATAATAATAGTTAATAATAATGATAATTAAAAATAATTAAAATAATTAATAGTAATAATAATAATTCTTGTTATTATTATTATTGATATTTCATCCTTTGTATGAGGGACTGCTGTAAAGCAGAGGTGGGCAACTCCAGGCCTCGAGAACTCCTGCAACTTTTAGACTCGTGTGTTTTTCTACTTCAACACATTTGAGTCAAGTAATGACGTCATTAGCAGAACTCTGGAGAACCGGACTGGACTTAGGAGGTGATTCAGTTGTTGGATTCAAGTGTGTTGGACCAGAGAGACGTCTAAGAGTTGCAGGAACCGCCCTGCTGTAAAGACACAACGCCAGTGACTGTCGCCCCCTGCTGTTCAGGAGGAGTGATGCTGCGGGTTAATTGGATGCTCAGGTCCAGTGGTCCAGAGTCCAGAGACAGACAGACAGACAGACAGACAGACAGACAGACAGAGACAAACAGGATGAACTGCTGCTCTGTTCTCTGGTTTCCTTTCTGAGTCTGGAGGAAGAGTGGTGCAGCAGAATCCATGTTGCTTGAGGTCTGCTCAAAGTTTCCACAATCAGTGTTGGTTTGGTGCCATGTCATCTGCTGGTGTTGGTCCACCGTATTTTGTGAGATCAAAGGTCAATGCACCTACCAGCACTTCCTGCTGACCAACTTTATAGAGATGCAGATTTAATTCTCCAGGAGGACTTTGAAAATCCTGAACCCAGAACCAGAACCTGGTTTGAGGTCCCTGGTGCAAACGAGTTATGCAACAGACCCGATGTTTCATTAGGGCTGAAGGCCACAATCAGAAAAACCTGATGACACCTGAGCAGAGCCGCAGGCTGACAGACGCCACGCCAACCCACGCCGTGCCACACCACGCTGCATGGCTGCAGTGAACCAGGCAGAAGGAAAAACTCAACACTGCGAGCTGAAATGTTGTCTATTGGACAACATTTCTAAAAATCCATCCATCCATTTTCTGATCACCCTTCTTCCCAACAGGGTCTGGTGCCTCACCAGCTGTGTTCCAGGTGAGAGGTGGGGGTCACCTGGACAGGTCGCCAGTCTGTCGCAGGGCAACACAGAAACAAACAACCATGCACACACACACACACACACACACACACACACACACACACACACACACACACACACACACACACACACACACACACACACACACACACACACACACACACCTAAGGAGAATTTGGAAAGACCAATTAACTTGAAGGTCATGTTTTTGGAGAGAACCCAGCATGCACTCCGTGCAGAAAGACCCCGGGCCGGGAATCAAACCCAGGACCTTCTTACTGCAAGGCAACAATGCTACCAACTGCGCCAGTGTGCAGCCCACTTCTAAAAATATATATTTTTAAATTGGTCATAAATAACATCCTGATTTTCTGACATACTGAATTCTGGGTTTTTTGGATTTCACTCGGACCGTTTCTTCAAATGTTTATTTCTTTTAAAAAAATAAACATTTGACAAATATCAGTCTGTGTGAATTTATGGTATTAATATGATATGATATATGATATTGAATGGATTTACTAACATAAATGATTCATGATGTTCTAATTTTATGACTAGCAACTGTACATGTGTTTGAGTTGAAATATTTTTTGTGAAATGCTTTAAAATGACATTTGTGAATTGGTACAATAGAAATAAACTCAGTTCAAAACAGAGTAGAATTATTTATGAACAACAACAACAATAATAATAATAGTAATAATAATAATATTGGGCTTCCAGCACCTCCTGTCTTAGTCCTTCTGAATTCCAGTTGGGGCCTCTGAGTGGGATTTTCTCCTCTTCCTTTTCCCTGTACTTGGAATATGGTGATGATGCTGGGTAGACTTAATCTCTCATTAAAATGACTTAATAATTATGTTTATGTAAGAACTAAAAACCACTTCAACCGCTGATCATGCTGAGGAATAATTAAACACACACAAATATGTGTTTATAGAAAAAAAATTATATATATATATATATATATATATATATATATATATATATATATATATATATATATATATATATATATATATATATATATATAATTTTCTCTTCATATAGAAAATAAAAACACAGGTTTTTTTCTGTGCTTCTAATTTAAATCCCTTCATTCTGATTAAAACAGTACCGAAGTCAGATTGCCTGTTTGCGCACAAATTTGGCGAATGAAACTGATTCTGGTTCCGATTCTGGTCTTCAATAAACTCGTCTCTTGTCTCGCAGAGAGGAACAAATACTTTGCTCGTGTTTCCAGTCGGAACAGGATTCAGGCTGTCCCCGGAAGAGCCCGTGTGAGATGGCGGTCGGTACTCGGACCGTTTGGTAGTTTTTGGGTTTTTTAGCTCCTCAGACGAACCGAACAATCTGCCTTACGGGAGCCTGAGTCCAGGGCGCTATGGAGGGGGGTAAACCGAGCCTGACGCTGGTCTACCAGGCGGTCCAGGCCCTGTACCACGACCCGGATCCGTCCGGGAAGGAACGAGCCTCGCTGTGGCTCGGAGAGTTGCAAAGATCGGTGAGAGCCCTGGGGATTGGTTCCGTTTGGGTCTGGCGAGGGTTCGGTTTGGGTTGAATGAGTTACCTGAGGGGGAAGCGGACAGGTGTGGCAAGCTGCGCAGTCTCAGAGGAGCTCCTGTTCCTGTTAGCATGGTGGCTAAGCTAACGGAATGAATGGATCAAAACAGAAACGGAACCGGTCATTTTTTTAACTTTATCCGGCATTTAAAGGACGAAATTTAAATCAGATCAGTTCAATTAATCACTAATAATTAGATTTATGATTAAAATGTTTGATTCTATGCGGAAGCAGCAGATTAATTCCCAGCAGGCCTGGTGCTGCTGTGACTGACAGCTCAGCAAGACTCAAGCCAGACTCCAGCCAGAATCGGCAGGATTTACCTGAAAGTACTCCCGGATCACCCGAGAAGGTCTGAGACCAGATCCAGAGATTCGGGGGAGAAAGTGGGCCAGGGTGCTTGAACTCGGCTCGGCATTCAGAACGGTTTCCTTAGAGATAGTGTCTGTAGTTGAAGGTGAAGCCTGCTGTCATGGTTCCCCTGTAGACCCGGTCTAGGAGGAAACGTCCTGCTGATCATGAAGGTGTTCATGAAAACTCCAGAAGTTAAAAGTCTTTCGCTCCATGTCTGCTGCTCTCTCACATCCTGGAGAACAGCTCCAGATCCTCCTCTGCATTTAAAATGTGACCTCCTGACCTGGGGATGCGCCAGGGTCACTGAGGACTTCTGTAGCAGATCAGCCCCGACCCGGTTCTGGTGGACCATCTGGCCCTGTTCTGTTCTGCAAAACCGGTCCATGCTTAAGCCCCGCACCCTGCGGCTCAGTGATGTAACTTCCTGTCCTGTGCAGATGTTTGCCTGGGAGATCTCGGACCAGCTGCTGCAGCTGAAGCAGGACGTGGAGTCGTGTTACTTTGCCGCGCAGACCATGAAGATGAAGATCCAGACTTCCTTCTATGAGCTTCCTCCAGAGACCCACAATGCACTGCGGGACTCCCTGCTGACCCACATCCAGAACCTCAAAGACCTGTCGCCCATCATCGTCACTCAGGTAAGCCCCACCCCAAGAGGGCGGAGCCGCTGAGGCGGAGAGTAGTAGGAGAAAGCAGCAGTTTGGTTATTAAGGCTTTCGATGTGACAATCTGAGATTTTAATCTGGATTATCATACTGTAAATCTGATCTGGTTCTGGTTGGCATCAGAACTCTGCAGCATTTTGGATCAGCTGAAGGATTTTAACTAAAGAGTTTAGCCTGAGGCAACAGATCAACGGATAAGGTTATAGATTATCAGGAGGTTTATCATTTATGCAATATTCAGGACATTAAAGGAGGAAACAAACTTGTTTCCTGTGGGATTAAATTACATCCTGGTTAAAAGTTTCATCACTGGAGGATCGTTTAATCCTGATCAATAATCTACTGATCAGGTTCTGTTCAGAGGTTCTGGTACAATAACAAAAACTTGTGTCATCCAGGATTTAATGTCCTGTAATCTACTGCAATAATGTGGATTGCAGATGAATCTGAGCATCATCAGTTTGTGAGGGGGTTTCCTGTAGCAGTCTGATCCGGTTACAGCGCCTCTGACTGAAGCATGATGGGAGAGCGGCACCATTTCAGGATTTGATGCAAAATCGATTCTCTGTAACATTATTTCGAATGTTTAGCTTCATCAGTGGTTCTGGCCTGACCCGGTTTTGACTCAGTCCGGGCCCAGGTCTGACCCGGTCCTGTCTTGCAGCTGGCCCTTGCCATCGCTGACCTCGCCCTGCAGATGGCGTCCTGGAAGGGCTGCGTTCACACGCTCATAGAGAAGTAGGAACACTCGCCGTCTCGCCACTCTGTGTTTGTGCCGCCCGGCCGACCTTTGACCCCACTCTGTGGCTCCGCCCCCTCAGGTACAACGAGGACGTGGGCTCCATGCCGTTCCTCATCGAGATCCTGACGGTCCTTCCGGAGGAAGTCCACAGCCGGTCGCTGCGGATCGGCGCCAACCGCCGCAGCGAGATCATCGAAGACCTGGCCTTCTACTCCAACACGGTGGTCGCCCTGCTGGTAGGGACACACGGGACCACTAGGGGCCGCCCGATCCGTACATCTGTCCGCCACGTATCTCTCTAACGTCCCTGTCCCCCCGGCACACCCCGTCCCCAGACGTCCTGCGTGGAGAAGGCGGGCGGAGATGAGAAGATGCTCATCAAGGTGTTCCGTTGCCTGGGCAGTTGGTTCAACCTGGGCGTCCTGGACAGCAACTTCATGGCCAGCAGCCAGCTGCTGATGGTCCTGTTCCAGATCCTGGTGAGTTCCGGTTCTGGCCCCGGTCTCGGTCCAGGTCCCCAGACTCTGACGGTTCCGCTCCGTGTCCCAGCAGAGGGACGAGACGTCCACCAACCTGCACGAGGCGGCGTCGGACTGCGTGTGCTCGGCGCTGTACGCCATCGAGAGCGTGGACACCAACGTGGCTCTGGCGCTGCAGCTGTTCCAGGGCGTGCTGACGCTGGAGACGGCCTACCACATGGCCGTGGCCCGCGAGGACCTGGACAAGTAAGGATCCGGCCGGCTGGGCGGCGGCCCGGACTGGTCGCCACGGTAACGGCCGCTCTGTGTCCACAGGGTGCTGAACTACTGCCGGATCTTCACGGAGCTCTGCGAGACGTTCCTGGAGACGACGGTCCGGACGCCGGGTCAGGGCATGGGCGACCTGAGGACGCTGGAGCTGCTGCTGATCTGCGCCGGACACCCGCAGTACGAGGTACCGGAACCGGACCGGGCCGGGCCTGGTTAGCGTTACCGGCTAATCCTGATCTGATTCAGGCAGTAGACTCATCAGGGGTCATAGGTCGCCTTCAATTGGCTGGCAGGAAGGCAGACAGTGGGTCAGCAGAGGTCAGCAGGTCGACATGGCGCTCTGTCTATAGACTTTAGTATCACTGATTATAAATCACTCAATACATTAAAGATCAGCTGCTGTTGGATCAACATACCAGACGACTCAGGTCTGCTGGTTCTGGTTCCGGTTCATAGAAACAGCATCCAGCTTCTGTGCACTGCAGATCTGGAACTTCCAGAAAACTGCAAAGCTGCTGAAACCCTGAGCTCCTTTAAGTCAGCGGCTCTGAAGGCTATTCATCACTTCATCTCTTCGACGTTCTGAGAAACTGCACTGGGTCAGGTTCTGGTTCTAGCTGGGCTCTGCAGCCTGAACTAATCCAGGGCAGAACCTGTTGGGGTCTGAAAACACACAACCGGTCCTGTTGGCGTGGTTCTGACCCGGTTCTGTCTGCAGGTCGTGGAGATCTCCTTTAACTTCTGGTACCGGCTGGGCGAGCATCTCTACAAGATCAACGACGCCAACCTGCACGGCGTTTTCCGACCGTACATCCAGCGGCTGCTGCACTGCCTGGCCCGCCACTGCCAGCTCGACCCGGACCACGTAAGGCTCCGAAACGGCTTGTTCCGACTCGGTTCTGGCCCGGTTCTGACTCAGTTCTGCTTCGCTCCACAGGAGGGAATCCCGGAGGAAACGGACGACTTTGGGGAGTTCAGGATGAGAGTGTCGGACCTGGTGAAGGACGTGATCTTCCTGGTCGGCTCCATGGAGTGCTTCTCTCAGGTACCGCAGGAACCTCAGCCCGGTTCTGGCCCGGTTTGGCCTCCTGCTGATGCCGCGCTCTGTCTTCCAGCTGTACTCCACCCTGAAGGAGGGGAACCCGCCCTGGGAGGTGACGGAGGCCGTCCTCTTCATCATGGCTTCCATCGCCAAGAGCGTCGACCCGTGAGTACCGCTGCCGAGCAGAACCGGGTCGGCACCAGGCCCAGAGCGCTGACGGCGCCTGTTTGCAGGGAGAACAACCCGACGGTGGCCGAGGTGCTGCAGCAGGTGGTGCTGCTGCCGGAGAGCGTGCACGTGGCCGTGCGCTACACCAGCATCGAGCTGGTGGGGGAGATGAGCGAGGTGGTGGACCGGAACCCGCGCTTCCTGGGTAGGTGGACCGGACCGGTCCGGGTGGGTCGGGGCCCGACGGATCCGACCGGCCGACGGTTCTGATCCGGCTCTGCGTTCTGCAGACCCTGTTCTGAACTACCTGATGAAGGGCCTGAGGGAGAAGCCGCTGGCGTCGGCGGCGGCCAAGGCCATCCACAACATCTGCTCGGTGTGCCGCGACCACATGGCCCAGCACTTCCAGGGGCTGCTGGACATCGCCCGCTCCCTCGACTCCTTCGCCCTGTCCACAGAGGCCGCCGTGGGCCTCCTCAAAGGTACCGGGTCAGAACCGGGTCAGAAGGTTTGGTTCTGATCCGGCTGTAGAAAGAATCTCAACTGTGGCTAAAACCATTAGTGGATTATTGAACAATTCATTTAGTCATTGATTAATCGTTAACTGGCTGCGGTGTGATGTCACATGTTAAGCCCCGCCCCCGTCTCTCTGCTGGAGGACACAAAGCTGCTAGCTGGCGCTTGTTGGCTTTCGCTAACCAGAACTAACTGGGTAACAAGAACAGCCAGGGAAGCTAGTGCAGATATGCTAGCTTGACTTTGACAACCATAACATGTAGATGTGCTGCTGGACTCACTGATTCGTTTCAAGTTGAGGAGAAAAAGGAAACCACATCCCAAATGTGACAGATCAGGAGTTTAAATGAGCCAATGAGCTGATGGCTACCATTAATAACCCCAGAATAAACCTCAAGCCTAAAAACAGGAACATGTAAATGACTGAATATGTTCATCTCTGTGTATGAAATATTTGCGTGTTTTTGGAGTTGGTATTATTGGTGTTGTTGTAAATTGCTATGGCAACGAGTCTGTTTGTAGCGCAGCTGACAGAACAAGAAACAAGAAGATATTTAGTTCTTCTTCACCGGTTATTTTTCTCTTTGCTGCGGCGCTGAATTACTAACAGCTACATCTGCAGGTTTGGCTAACGGCGGCGCGGCTACGGACGGAGAGCGTTGTGCATTCGCCTGACTGAACAACAACACATGAAAACTGAACAATCAATATCAATATTTTGTTCACATCCATCTTTGATCAGAAATAATCAAACATTCACTGAACCATCTGATTTTTAGCCAATTTGTTTTTATATTTCAAAGTTTCAATCAGCAGAATGGGACATTTCTTCAGAATAATAAAACAGAATGGTCCTTTAATGTCCCAAAGCTTCCTGGGCGGGTCCAATAGAACTTTTATTTTAAGCAGCAGAAGCTCATGAGTCAGGACTCTGGGTCTCCTCCAGGACTCAGGCCCAGTTCTGGTTAGGGAACCAGTTGGGTGTGGACCCGGAACCCCCTGCAGCTCTGCTTTAGGGACCGTTTGGACTTGCCGGTTCTGACCGGTCCGGCTGTGACTCTGTGCAGGTACGGCGCTGGTTCTGGCCCGGCTGCCCCTGGAGAAAATCGCAGAGTGCCTCAGCGATCTGTGCGCCGTTCAGGTTCTGGCTTTGAAGAAGGTGAGTGCGCTCCAGGTCGGACCGGTGCCGCCGAGCCGGAACCGGTCCAACTGGGTTCTGTCCCCGCAGCTGCTGGCGGAGCGGTCCAGGAACGGGAAGTCGGCCGACCCGACGGTGTGGCTGGACCGACTGGCCGTCATCTTCAGGTGAGTGGAGCCGCAGGAAGATTTCCGCCGCCGCCGCAGACAGTGAACGCATCGTCTCGTCCTCAGACACACGAACCCCATCGTGGAGAAACGGCCAGACGCACCCGTGCCAGAAGGTGATCCAGGAGGTGAGGCGCCGCACACCTGGACTTTACCTGTCCAAACCTGTCCCAGACTGATCCCTGACCCCCCAGATCTGGCCCGTCCTGTCGGAGACGCTCAACGCCCACCAGGCCGACAATCGCATCGTGGAGCGCTGCTGCCGCTGCCTGCGCTTCGCCGTGCGCTGCGTCGGAAAGGCTCCGCTCCCTGCTGCAGCCGCTCGTCACTCAGGTGAGTCGCCTTCGGCACGGGGTCTGCGGGTGGTTGTTGCCGTGGTGACGCTAACGGGGGGCTCCTGTCCTCCAGATGGTGAGCGTCTACCAGGTGTACCCGCACTCCTGCTTCCTGTACCTGGGCAGCATCCTGGTGGACGAGTACGGCATGGAGGAGGGCTGCAGGCAGGGGCTGCTGGACATGCTGCAGGTAAGCCGTCGTCACCTGATCTAGGCCACGCCCCCTGCTGGGCCCATGACCAGGAGCTGCCGTGTGTCCTACGGCGCTATGCATGCCCACCTTCCAGCTGCTGGAGCAGCCCAACAGCCTGAGGAACCACCCGGACACCGTGGACGACCTTTCAGACTGGCCACCAGGTGAGCTCACCCGGCTTCCTATTGGCACATGTTCACCGTAAACTGCTAAAACTTCACAGGCCAAAACTAGCAACAGGTTGAAACACCAAGCAGCAGAACCAGAGCAGCGTCTCAGCGGGTCGGTGACGGTTCTGAAGCGTCTCGGAGCTTCTCAATGAACTTTGGGCGTATCATCGCATGATGATCATTGAGACACGAGGACAGACATCAGAGCGCCGTCCACCGTCCCTTTATGTCCCCTCCGTCCCTTTATGTCCCCTCCGTCCCCAGGTTCGTCCAGAGGAGTCCTGTCACATTGCTAGGCAGCAGCATCGTGGTCCACATCATCCAGTGCGCCATCGCCGCCACGTCGCTCGACCATCGGGACGCCAACTGCAGCGTCATGAAGTTCATCCGAGACCTGATCCACACTGGAGTCGGCAACGACGTGAGTCGGAACCAGAACCGGGCCGGAGGCTCCAGGAGGAGCAGGTGGTGCCGTTCACTGGGTTTATATCTCTCTCTCTCTCTTCTCGCTCGCCCTCAGCATGAGGAGGACTTTGCGCTGCGGAAGCGTCTGATTGGTCAGGCCATGGAGCAGAACGGCCAGCAGCTCATCAACCAGCTGCTGCACTCCTGCTGCTTCTGCCTGCCGCCGTACACGCTGCCCGACGTGGCCGAGGTCCTCTGGGAGGTCATGCTGTTCGACCGACCCGTGAGTCCTGCCGGCTCTGGTCCCGGTCCGGCTCCGGAGCCGCGGTTCACTCCGCTCCTCTGTTCCAGATGTTCTGCCGCTGGCTGGAGAACGCGCTGAAGGGGTTACCGAAGCAGACGGCGGGCGGCGCCGTGACCGTCACCCACAAGCAGCTGACCGAGTTCCACAAGCAGGTGACCAGGTGAGTCCAGCGGGTCAGAACCGGGCCGCACCGACACTGGGTGATTGATTTCATTTTTTGGAAATCGGATGGTTTTCCACCAATCGCCTTCTTGGGTTTCAGTGATGTCATGGCACCCAAGGCGGCCATCTTGCTTGACTTTACGACGGAGTTTTAGGTCCAGGTTAAGATTTATATTTTTATTGAAGAGGATAAAGTAGGACTATTACAGATTAAAAGGAGGAATGTTCATGAGTTTATTTAGAAGGAACTCACATCAGATGCTTATTTTACACTTTTATTCATAAATTAAAATGATCATTCAGTTTGACTGACATAAAATCCCCTTGAAAATATTTTCTGTCAGTTGTAATTTCTTTTTTTAAATCAATATAAAAAATCTGATTTTATTTTCATTCGCGTCGCCCGGTCTCTGTTCCTGTTCTGACCCGATCAGCCTCCGGCGAAGGCGTCGGGATGACTCATCGTGAGGCGTTGTGTCGGGACGGGCCCAAAGGCGGGCGGGGCGCTGCTGGATCAGAACTGGATCAGAACCGGCGGGAGCGGGTCCAGACTCGCCCTGCCCTGAAACCAGACGGGCTTCATGTGTGTGTTTCTCTTTCAGTGCTGAGGAGTGCAAGCAGGTGTGCTGGGCCATCAGAGAGTTTACCAGGCTGTACCGGTAGCTGCAGCTTCTCATGACACCAGGTAGGCACTGGGAATACTGGGAATACTGGGAGTCCTTCACCACACATCAGCCGGTTAGCTTCCTGCTACCTTCCGTAGAACCGACCCAGTACATAACGTGACTCCCTCAGCCAGGGGTCTCAAACTCCAGTCCTGGGGGGCTGCTGGGCCCCTGCAACCTTTAGATGAGCCTCTGCTGCACCACCTGAGTAGAATAATGAGTCATTAAGGCTCTGGAGATCAGATCTACACCAGGAGGAGGAAACGAAGCCGTTTCATTCCAGCGTTTTGTACCTGTGGCTCATCTAAACCTGCAGGACTGGAGTTTGACTCCTGTGCCCTCGACCCACGTTAGCGCTAGGCAGCAGTTAGCGTTAGCCTCAGGTGTTTCCAGGTGAGTTATAGAAAGTGTCCTGATATCTTTGGTGCTATTTATCAACAATAAGTTACTGAATTAAACTGAATCTCTTTATTGTTTGCAGAACAAAATTTAATTTCAGGCAAACACAAACAAGGGAGACGTTACCTGCTGAAACGTTTTTTTATCTCAAGATATTTGCTGTAGAAACAAGAAAAAAATACCTTGTGTTTTTACAGTGTGGTTTCATAGAAAGTGTCCTGAGATGAGTGAAGAGCTGAAAGCGCGCCTCTTCCTCCTCCTCTTCCTCAGGTTAAATCTTTAGTTGACCAACATTCAGAGGTGACGACAAAAAGCTGCGACTGCAGACGAGGAAGACGGAGGGACTTTGAATGTGAAACGGGACTCTGTGACCCGACGGAGGAGAGACGGACGGAGCCCACCCCCCAGCTCACCTGCAGCAGGTGGTTGTGGGTGGGCGGGGTCAGGACCGGTTCCTGCTGGACCCTCGGAGGCGATTAATCAGGACGTGCCTGCTCAACTGTTTTTAAGAGATTTATTTTTGGGACTTTGGTCAAGATGTTTCTGTCCGTGCCAAAAAACAGAGCCAAAAAATTTCCCATGATGCTGTGGGCCGCATGGCGGAACGCTGGAGGATTTGGCGTCACCTTTGACCTTTTATCTTTGGTTTATTTTAGTTGTTTTTCCATGAATGGAAACAGAGAGGACTGTGGGTAATGAGGCGGACTGACACCATGACATCAGTGGTGATGTAGCCTTGCTGTAAACAATAAAACAGCTGAAAACACTCTGCTTCTTCTTCTGTGGTTTTAGAAAGGGAGACACACTGGGACCAGTCTAACCAGTAACTGGGGGGCATTAACGCCTGAGCTCAGGTGTTTCTGTAATCTGACCCCACCTGATGAAGGGTCAGTCATCCTCACCTGAGACTGGGAGTTCTGGTTAGACTAGTTCCTGCTGCAGGGCCCGGTCTGTCCTCCGGGCGGCGCCAGAGAGCAAACAGAATCACTGATGAAATGGTTCTGATGGACCAGCAGCAGAATACTGCAGTGGTTCCGACCCGGACACATGGTGGTACCGGACTTGCCAGACGGAAATTGTTTAATCAGGTCCAACTGATTAGGTTCCAGAAGAGCTCCTGAACCACTAAAGAATTCCCCACAGATCAGAACCAGAACCATGTTTCTGTCTGGTTTGGGTCCCCCTGACCAACCAGCTACCAGTACCAAACTACCTGGAACTGTGATGAATGGGTTCTGTTCAGAAGCCAGGTCTGGATTCGGTCAGAACCAGAGCCTGAAGCAGCCAAAGTCCAAATAAAACCTTCAGGAAGGAATCAGAATTTTCTGGTCTACAAACGACCCAACCCTTTGTGATGTAACAGAGGTTGAACCCCAGGTTCTGGTCTCAGCTGGTCCCCATGGAGAACCCGGTAGAGGCCTCTAGAGAGCCGACGGGGGCCCAGGGCCCGGTTGGACCCAGTTGGTTCTGGAGCAGGCGCTGCAGCTCCTTGAACTGCTCCACCGTCTGATCCTTCACGTCCGGGTTGGAGATCTGCAGCCGGATGCTGTCGGTGGACCAGGCCAGCTCTCCGGAGAACATCTCCGTCAGGATCCGGGCCACCACCGGAACCACCTGCACATCAACAGAACCTTTATAACCCGCACCAGCAGAACCCGGGTCGACGTGACCATCGGCCACCCACTTGGACCATGATGAGCTTCTTCTCTCTAGGCTTCCTGTCCGGCCAGTCCTCTCCGAAGCAGAAGAAGACGTCAAATGGCGGCGGATTGGCAGCTTCGCCCTTCTGGAACGAGATCAGCCCTGTGGACCAGAACCGCTGTTAGAAGCAAACTGTCGCAAGAGCTGAACCCCAGAATAAGTTGTCTAGACAGAAACGCCAACAGCAGGAGTGCTCAAGTCCAGTCCTCAAGATTCTTTTAGAAGAACCCTTTCCCCAACAGACCGGGATCAGCTCTGAACACACCTGCTAATGAGCGGCTCGTTAGCAGGTGTGTTCAGATGCATTGAAAAGTTGCAGGATGGTCGCTCTGGAGGACTGGACTAGAGCTCCCCTGGCCTACAGGAACCCGAAGAACTGGGTCAGAAGACGAACCTTGCAGGAAGTCGTTCAGGCTGAACACCCGTATCCTCCTCTCTCGCTCCATGGAGTTGGGTGGACCCAGTTCTGGCATTCCCGGGCCAGACCAGAATACCTTGCACTGACAGAGGCGGATGGCATAGATGTCCTGCTGCTGGATCTCCAGGATCAGACCGCGGTCCATCACATCCAGCAGAGCGTCCGTGTAGAAACGCTGCTTCTGGTTCTGGATCTCCACCGTTCCCGGGAACAGAACCTGCTGCAGACTGACTGGACCGAACAGGTCCACCTGCTCCGGCGTCGGTTCCAGGTGGCCGTAGTAGAGCCGGCAGCCCTGGGGGTTGCTGACCGTCAGGGAGCCCATGGCCCGGCCCCGGTACCAGAACTTCAGGTCCAGATCTGTTACTGCAGAACCAAGACAGGAGAGGCCCTGGGGTCATGACCCCTGAAGGGACTAACGGCGTCTCTTTGTTCAGTAACTAAACCTTACTTCTTCATTGCGACAGCGTTTCTGGTACTGACAATAAAATGCGGAGCATGACTTTAGTTCAGCGGGCAGAAAGCTAAAGCTGAGGGAGGACAGCAGCACCTGTTCAATTAGTGGCAGTGGCAACTGTATGTGTTATGAAAATGTATTATTGCTGTCTTTCGTTTTGAAATAATTGATTCACTTGAAAAAATATCATGTTCAATCAGCGAAAGCTCTCAGTGTCTGGAACTGCCACGTCCTTTTCAGTAAATGTCAAAATGTCGGTCGGAATTCTGCAAAACAGCGTTAACTGCCTTAGCAGCTCTGGCGCGCTGATACTAGGTGATACTGCATCTCTGCTGCTGATTGGCTGAGGAAAACTAAAAGAGTCGCTGTACACCAATGAAAGGCAGAGTTGGGCGGGCCTTCGCAAACGAGCGGAAAGGAAATAAACACAAGCGGTAGAACCGCTGCGGATAGCTAAGCTAAGCTAAACAAAGCACAGCACAAATCAATCTACATGTGAAAGAAACGCTGTTATATATATCACAAGAAACTTTGAGCTCATTGACCAACTAAGCTAGTAACCAGGATGGCTGATGACGCCAGCAGGTGAGGCTAATATCATTAGCTCGGTGTATAAAGATGGCGGCGCTGCCCAGCAGGCTAAGCTTGGTTTTACTGATCGTTTCGTTTCCTTTCAGGCTCCATTTGATTCAGTTTCAGTTCAGCATAAATGATAAAGAGGGTATCCAAAATGTTTTACATATTTAAAGACATTTTGTTTCTGTAGCTTCTTTCCCTGGTAATAGTTATTTTTACAGTATAGTAATCGGTCCTTTTTATTTTAAAGTAGCTAATATAGTTTCTTTAAAAGTAACTTGTTGCACTGGACCCATTTCAGAGTTCTGGAGGAACACGGGTCTGATCAGAACCCAGCTGGGATCACATGACCTGGTAGAACCTCCACCCTGGTCCAGATGGTGGTTCTGTTCAGGTTCTGGACCTATCGAACCTTGCAGGTCTAGCTTGACAAATCACAATTTGAGGAGATGATGACGTCATCACCCTAAGCCTATGAGGGTCAGTAGAACCGGTTCTGGGTCTCTAGTCAAGTCCAGAATCACCGATCCTCTTCAATAAACAGGGTTTTTGTACCGGTTTTGGGCCGAGCCACTGCAGAGCCTTTTGGTTCTGGACCAGTAGTCCTCTCGGAACCAGGAGGTCTGATTAGTTTGAGTACTGGCAGACTGACTGAGCAGAGGAACCAGAACTGGACCGGACTCACATGGGACACTGCTCAGCAGGTCGTACTTGCAGGGCTGCTGGTTCTGATGATCCGACTGGCTCTGGACGGACTCCATGCTGCTGGCCTCCATGGATTCTGGCTGAGTGGAGGACAGAGGGTTCAGGTTCTGGAGTCCGGCCGGGTCGAAGCTCCCCGGGTCCGCCGGTGAACCCCGAGGCTGGACGTCAGAGGTCAGGGGCAGCAGCGGCATCGGGATCACCTGGGCCGACCCGAAGGGCGGAAAAGAGGCGAGCTCGGTCCGAGGGTCTACAGAGACGGAACCGGGTCAGACCGGGTCAGGCGGTCAGTGGTCACCATAGAAACGCTGGAGAGGGACTTACTGATGGAGAGCTCGGTGAGGTCCGGCATCTGGAAAGGTCAGGAGGAAAAGGTCAGCTGGTTCTGATCTACTTTATCCGATTAGGTCCTGTTCACCTGGTTCTGATCCTCACCTCCTCATCGTCCTCGGCTCCATCTGAAACACAGAACCACATCAGAACATCGTCAGAACCATCCCGTAGATTGGACCGGGACGGTCCGGTCGGCTCACCTGCGGCGCCGGTTCCGTCGCAGACCTCGTAGATCTTGTAGGGGCGGAGCGGCGTCTCCTTGGTTCCGTCGAACCAGAGCCGGAACTCACGGCTCTTGTTGAGCGCGCAGCGCAGGTTCGCCTTCCACTTGGCCGGGTCCGGTTCGTCCACACCCTCCTGGTACTTCCCGGTCTCCACGGCCCACGCCTGCGAAACAAGCAGGGGTCAGGGGTCAGAGAGATGCTGCGGGTGCTGCTTCCGGCCTGGATGGAGAGGTTCTGGGTCCAGCCTCCAGGTTCTGGTTCTGGTTGGCGGTGCAGCGACCAGAAAGAGGAAGCAGAGAAAGCGGAACAACGCTGAGCAGAACCGAAACCTGCAGAGGGAGGAAGTCCAACAGGAAGACTGAAGCACATGTTCTGGCCCGGTCCCGAACCGGCCCGGCCCAGTTCCCCTTTCATCCCGGGCCCAGCGGAACCGAACCTTAAAGATGGTGTTCTCCTCCTCCGACATCGGCGTGTTGCGGGTCGCGTGTTTCCACGGGACCTGAAAGAGCCGCTGCTCCGAACCGAGCCACTGCAGACCCGGATACCTGCCGCTGTTCACCTGGGCCAGCAGCCAGGGCTTCAGGCGGATCCTGCGGGGCTGGATGCTCATGGCGGAGCGCTGGGAGCACTGGGACCTGTGGGCAGAAGGACGAGTGGGCTTATGGTTCTGGACGGATCCGCAGTCTTGAGTCCAACTGCACTAGCATGGCTTCCTGGGGTCCGAACCGGTTCCTGAACTGGTCTGGGTTCAAGTTTTTCTGCAGATGATCCAACTCAGAAACCAGTTCGGCTGATGAGCCAATCGGTTCGGAACCAGTCGGTCTGTCGCGGATGATGAACTCACCTTGGCTCGGTACCTGGTTCCGGTTCTGCGCTTTTGGTGTGAAACAGTTTTGTGCACCGAACCACCAACATACAAACGAATAGTTCGGCACCGGACCGGAGCGGTACCGCGCGACACAAAGTTTCTGGGTGTCTTTGCTGAAGTAAAGTGAGTCTGCGTGAAAACTGCTTCCGCCAAAGATGGCATTACTTTCAAAATAAAAGCGTTTTGTGTTTTGGTCACAGATTAAGTTGCAGCTCGGATCGCTTGAAGCAGAAAAGCCCTGAAGTTCATCTGAAGCTGGTTTTGTTGAAGGAATCATTTTTGTTGTATGATCCGAACCGGCAGAACATTTTCACCAGAGCAGGAATCCGTCAGCATGAGGTTCTGAGCCTTTTATTTTGAAATCGGGGTTGTAGTTTCCGGGCTGTGACGTGTGCCTGCAGGTTAATAACGTGTGGGTGTTTTTCAGTAAACTTTTAGGTTCCTCCTTCAGAGCAGAACCAACCAGGACCCCGCGCAGGATTCTGGAGCGTTCTGCAGGGTCCGACTGGACTCGCGCGGTTTCCTGGAGGTCAACACTTCCGGTGATCCAAGATGGGTCAGACCCAGAACCGGGCAGAAGAAAGGTGGCCATTACGGCGGACCTCCGCTGACCCAGTTCTGTAGAACCCGAGGCCAGAGGTTGCAGTTCATCGCCATGGTGATGAAAAGGACAGGAAATTATTCTTCATCTGGTTTAGGGGTCCACTGAGACATTTCCATGGCCAGAGTTTCTGGATGACCCGGAAATGTAAGTGGTCATCCAGGGACAGAACCAGTCCCAGTGGGTCAGCAGTGATTCACGGGCTGTGGGAGCAGACAGATTCTGTCCTGCTGGTTGGACATTACTGGATCTTCAAACAACAACCCAACAGTACCTCCTGTTTACTAAACCTGGTTCTGGTGAAGTCATCCTGTCTGGAACTGGCCTGGTTTTCATCAAGCTGCTAATGTTTTTCTCCTGAATCAGTTTCTGATGTTAGAACTCCTGGCCCAGAACGTTTACTGGAGGGAAAAACTGGAGACGGTTGGAAATGCGCCTGAGACGGCTGCAGGTCCTGAGTTGGCCTCTAGGAGGCAGTAGTTTATCTGGACTGGAGGACAAACCACTTGAAGCCATTAGGTGGCAGTATATGACCAATAAACACATAAACATTTCTTGTAAAGTTGATGGGGGCTGTAGCCGGTTCTGGGTCCGGTTCCGGTCTCAGTAGCTCTTATATGCTTGGATAACTGGTATAAATGACATAACTATATTACAGATTTGTTTCCTATATTGGTTTTACATGTTGCTTCTTAAATTGTGTTTTGAAGATCTACTTAACTAATTTAAAAAAATGAAATATGAAAACTTCGCTTTTATATTTTCTAAACGTTTTACATTTTGGGTCAATAAAACACTTCATCTTTTGTCACTTTTAAAATATTTATGTTTTTCTGGCTACTGATCAGATTCCTGAAGATCCATTAGAAACATGAACAAAGTTCTCTTTGAGTTCAACTGCTGTTTTTATTCCCACCTGAAACGAGGGCCAGACCTTCGGTTCCTAGTGTCACCAGGCAGATTGAATCAGCAGAACTTCTCAGACGATCCGATCAGAACCATAGGGACGGAAAGAGGAAACAGGATTTCATTCTGTTATTTGTGTTTGTCTCCATCTCAGGATGCAGGGCACGGAGTCGGCTCGTGTGGGCCCCCTGGTGGTCGCTATGCTCACTACTGCAGGTATAGTTAAAGTCTCGGGGGAAAATCTTCCTGTTTTTGTCCACATTGTTTTTTGAAACAGAAGTTAAACATGGTTTTATTCATAAGTAATTTCTGAAGGCATTTTTCATTTAAACCACTAAAAACAAAGAGAGTATGAGTTTAAATCTGCCAATCAATCACACATTGCGTGTCCCAGACAGTCTTGATCTGTGATTGGCTGGAAGAATCTTTCAAGTGTCCCCTGATTGGTCAGTGTTAATGTCCTTGTCACTCTGGGGCATCCCACCATGGACCTGCAGGCCTGCGGCGACGTCAGATGACCTCTTCCAGCCGGACGCCACACCTGCAGGTTTCTCTACCATGACGAACAGATCCGTCTGAAAGCGGCAGCGGCCTGTTGGATCGCTGAGAGAGACCTCCGAGGATGGAGACTGAGGTCTGGACCTGCTGTCAGCTGCTGAGAAGGAGGAAGTTGGAGGAGGAAGAGACTGCCTCCGGATGTAGAGACCCTGTCTGCCGTGGAAGCTGCCTGACCGCAAGGACGCCTGACGACGGAGAGCCTCATCCATGAAGCCTGGAGACCTGGAACTCACCTGAAGGTTAGAGAAGAACCAGAGAGGATCAATACCATCATGTCCTCAAATGAAGGAAGATGTCTCCCTACAGCTGGGACACTCTGCAGATGAAGTCATCAGTGGTGTGAAATGAACTGCAGCTTCCTCCTGTTTGGAGGATGGATGGAAGCTGAAGAGGAAACAGAGAACCCAAAGCTGACCTTTGACCTCCCCAACACCCTAACTCTGGTGTTGGTGTTCAGCAGTTAGCAGGTTTGTGGTACCAGAATCAGTCTGGGTCAATTTTCACCGTTAACACTAGGTTGATCAGAACCGGATCTTCTAAAGGTTCTGAATCTTTTTCATAGTTAATGTTTGTTACCAATCAGCTGCTGGAGATTGTTCATTTTAAGTGGTGCTGTTAGATTATTTAATATGGTCCAACAGAACTCTGAACCCTAATCCGGCGGACCAGGATTCTGAGGTTCCTCATCTAAACATCTGGTATGAAGGTTGGTCTGTCAGCTTCATCTGGTTTCACTTCCTCTTCAGGAGATGTGTCGTCTTCTGCCCCCTGGGGTTCCGGCTGCCCCTCTACAGCTCTTTGCTTCCAAGACAACCAGGTTTGTTCCCAAAAGCTCTTCAAAACAAAAATATTTTGTATGAATTCAGTAGAACTCATTTATTTGATCTTCACCTTCTGATGCTTTGAGGTTGTGGTGACGGGCAGGACATCAGCTTCCTGCGGCCGGCGCCTTCGCACGAATCGAAGCAGCAGAAACAAGAAGGCTGACAGAAACGTCAGCAGGATCAGTGCTGCGATTCCTCCTGCCAACCTGCTGTCCACATCCCCAAACAGCTGTTGCTCTGTGAACGCACCATGAGGCACTGGAAAAGAGGGAAGGGGTCAGTGAACGCACCATGAGACACCAACAGAACACGTTGCACCAGAACGCCAGTGAGTAGGTGCACTAGTCGGCTCCCAGACTGTTCTCACCTGCTTGTCCTCGCTGCAGGACTTCAACGTCCACTGAGGCTGAAACTTCCTCTCCTGATTCTTCATCCCTGGCAATAACCTGGAAGTCAACATTCAGAGCATTAGCCGTGTCAGACTGACCACGTCTGAGCTCCAGAACACAGAAACTAAAAGCTCAGCGGGCCGAGGCGAGGAGCGTGGTTCCATTCAGCGCCGTTTAGTAGAGGAGCTCAAAGGAAAGAGACGAGAACTCGACAGTTTTGTATCGGAAGAAAGCGAAATTTTTATCAGATTCCTCTATCAATAGCTGCTGGAAAAAGTTACCAGTCCGACAACCCGGTTCTGAATATTTATCTGAATATATCTCTGCAGAGCTGAGCAGCAGACAGATCAGCTGCTGCCTCGCCTCCGTCAGGAGCAACTCTGATAAAAACTGATTTATAAACCTGGAGGCAAAAGGTTCTGGGTTTTGGTTCTGACAAAGATCCATAATTTAGCTCGTTAACCTGTTTAGATGCTGTGCTGGTTCTGATCAGATGGAACCAGATCCTGGTTTTGTTGGACCAGTGGAGCGTTCATCCACCTGTCAACTGTAATTAATGAAGTTATCAGAGTTTCAATCCATGTCAGACAAATGTACCGGCCCGGTTTTGGTTCTGATCAGATCCAGGATCTGGTTTGGGCTCTGAGTCTCTCCATGGAGGTTCCCTTAATTTTTTGAGCTCTAACTGCAGGACTCCTGGGGTTCTCAGTTTGAGGTCAGAGAACTTTGGTTCCGACGGCAGAACCCCAGGACGGACTGGGAGGCAGTGTGGAGTTCTGTGATGTTATCAACCTGCAGCCCATGTGACCGACCTGCAGGACAATCAAGCGTGCTGATTGTCCTGCAGGTGGAGCTGGAGTGGATTCACGCTGGGAAGCTTTTAGTCTCCTGCTGCTTCTGCTGTTTGACTTTCTGCCTCCACCTGAGAACCAGGAGATGGACCAAACATCACACCTCACTGGGTTTTCTAACATCAATTCAGGTGTGATCGAACTCGCCTGCAGAATGTGTCTGTCAAAGGCCCTCAGCTGGTCCGTCCGGGCGATCAGAACCCCCTCCTGGGTCACTCGGTACAGTCGGGACGGTGGATGGAGGAAGAACTGGATGTTTGGGTTCACTCCCTGCTTTTGGACAGCAGTGGTGAGTGGACAGGTGGGACTCAGGTGACAGAGTACAGGAGGGCCTATCTGCTTTCTTACATCAGAGAAATCCTGGTCAGATACCTGGACCTGCAACACCTGGTTCCCATAGGTGGAAACGATGGCGGCGGGGCTTGAGCTCTGGATGATGAAGCCTTTGAAGGTGGTTGTGTTAAAGACTGGGGGGAAGGAGTTCTCACTGAGAACCCTGACCACAACCGTGGCCACGCTGTACTTTAACCGGTCCTCTACCTGACACACCTGGACAGCAGCGGGAACGGGCTGATCAGAAACACGATACGGAGACTGGAAAAGAAAGTGAAGGAAGTGCTGCTGTTACCATGACGGTGAGCGTGAAGTTTGCTCCTGGCTGACGCTCATCTACAGCTCTGGTAAGCCTGATCTCACCTGTCCTATTGTCCATCACAAACCTGCCATGATTGTCACCTGTGGGCTCCAAAACACACCTGGTCACTCCTGGTCAGCTGTTCAGAGCTGTCATGTTGAGATAATAATGCAGATTTCTGCTCACCTGACAGGATCGTATACATGAGAGGAGCGTTGATGCCTCGATCGCCATCCCGGGCTCTGATTGGACCAGGAGAAAACTCCAGAGCCAAGTCCTCAAAAGGGAAAATTGGCACACCTGGAAGCTCAGTCTGTGTTGGCAGCTTAACCAAAACAACATTTCTGCCTGTGGTCTTTCCGTCACACAGGTTGAGGCTCCAAATGTGGTGTCTAGTGTAAAATGAACCCACCCTTCTGTCTTCCTGACAGTATCTTTGGTTTGTCCAATCATGTTGCGAGGCTAAAACTGAGGCCTTCCTCTCCAGCACCTCTTAGGGTTCCCTAATCTGCAGGGAGTTCTGGTTCTCCTGTCAAGATCACTGGATCTGTTTCTCCTCTGTCGGCGCTTTGGTTTAAACGTCACATCCCAATCAATAAAACGGCCAGGTTCTGTTCTGGTCGTCATAGACCAACAGTCACTCCTTCACTAGAACCGGCGTTTTGGGTGCAGGTGTTGCTGCTGTTTACCTGGTGTTGTCGTGTGATGTTGGCTGTGTAGGTTGGGCTCATGCAGATCGGGACACCTGGAGACACAGGTGTGCAGGGCAGGAAGTGAGGATACTGGTCGTCAACATCCTCGATGTCGATGGTGAGGACAGTGGAGATGTTGAACTTCTCCTCAGTGTTTGATTCCTTCAAACAGAACCGCCCACAGACTCTCATCATCACATTGACTACACAATGTAGTAGTCTTCTTCATGTAGTGAAATTTGTAACGTTGGACTCTTGCTGGACCTGTTTACAACCAAACTTTCACCTGGGCCCACATGATGATCTGTAAGCGAGTTCTGCTTTCGTAGTCCAGAGGTTTGCTCAGCACCACTTTCCCACTGTTGGGCAAGTCGATCCTGAAGAACCATGCATCTTCCTGCAGGTAACAGACAGCAGGTGATGCAACTTACCTGACAGAGGTTTGCTTTGCAGAACGAATCCTGAAACTTTGATGCTGAATGGGCCACAAGTAGACGGGGATTTTACCGAGGATTGGTCGATGGTGTAGCTGATCGTATCTCCATCTGAGTCGACAGCCTTCACAGTGAAAACCACAGAGTTTACTGCTGCAACCTGCAGAAGAATGAAAGACTGACATATAAGTGGTTCCTGTACTATCTGTGAGATCATACAGGTTCTCCTGAAATCCATTTGTTGAGAAGTTTCACCTCGCTGATGCTGAACGGTTGGATGGACTCCTCCAGGAACTTTGGTTTGTTGTCATTTTCATTCAGAATCTCCACCAGAATCCTGTAGTGGCTCTGAAACCAGTTTACATTGCCTTGCTGGACTGACTGGTGTGTATGTTCTGGTCGTGTTCTCTGAACTTACTTGTTTGACGTCGTCCTCATAACAGGTGAGCTCAGCGATCAGAAACGGTCCCAGAACCTGAGAAACAAAGATGCTTTGGTTAATCAGACATGCCGCACTGAGTTTTAGGGCGGTCTGAGCCGTACCTCTCGGTCCAGGACTCTGGATGCAGACGAGTTGAGTCTGATGGTTCGACCTTCTAAGTAGAACCAGTTGGCATTTGGTCCGGTCAGGCACAGACGCACGGTGTTGGCACCTGGGTCAGATCTGATGCTGATGTGTGAGATGAACTGACCTGCTGGGCTGTTCTCCCTGACAGACGCAAAGATGTTGGAGCCGGCCGTACATAGACTGGCTGAGGACCAAACAGACGCAGTTAATGTACTGAAGCAGCACCAATAACTAATAATATAGTAAATGGATTACCTGTTGCAACATGGCAAAAAACTCTGAGAACTAGCTGCCACAGCAGCAGACAGAACATCCTTGACATTTTCTTCCTTCACCTGTTTACAACAGAAGCCATTGGATCAGAATATCTGGGGTCAGCAGATGAAGCTCGACTCTGAAACGCAGATTTTCTTTTCCTCTCTTGCTCTCAGTGAAGGCGGATGCTTTTTTCCCCTCTGCTCCCTCCCTGTCTTTTTCTATATTTTTGGAGTCTTTCTTTGCACATCCTCCAAATCTACAAATTATGGATCTGGTCAACCGGTCTCTCAATGCAACTGATCAAATTCTCTCGATGAGCAGACTGAGCCCTTTTGTCCTGTCGGGACACACCCAGCGGGATTCACCCTGGATTTACTCATGATGACAGGATTTCTGCTGTTTGTAGCTTGTGTATACCTGGCTTATCAACAAACATCTCAGACTGTTGGTGTGGACAGAGACCCACGTCTTTCCTTTGGTTTGTTATTTTGTTTGTATTTCCTTTTAAATCCTGTAAATCACTTTGTATTGCCTTGTTGCTGAAAATCTGCTCTATAAATAAAGTCGCCTTTACATCAACAGATCATCGTCTTTATTAGCAGCTCTAGAAAAGGAGCAAGTTATGCTCTGGAACATAAAACACCTTATTCTGGATTAAGGTTCATTCCTGATTTTATTGATGGTGCTAAAATGATGATCTGAGATATGGAAGCCTTGACACTTCTTATTTACCCAGGAAGGGTCAAAGGTAATCTCCTAACTATTTGTCTGTCCAAGATTATTCCCAAAAGGAAAACATTTCAGGTCCAGCAGATTCATCCCAAGGTCAGAGGTCAGAGAAATGACAGGAACCCCAAGAGCTCCATCTCTACAGGTCTCATTCTGTAGGACCACTACGAGTCATGACCCTGAACAAGCCTCATCTCTCTAGAAACAAGATGGCTGCCGGACTGAGGTTAGCCAACCTGCATCTGGAGGAAGGACAAAACTTCTAGGACAATGTCCTCTGGACAGAGGGGACCAGAACAGAGATGATGGACAGTCTGTGTTGGCAGACTGTCCATCATCCATAATGATGTGGGACTCCTGGGCTCCTTGCAGTCACCTCTCCGTCCGGCTGGCCTGCGGTCGGCCGCTGTCTCGCCCTCGTTGGACTCCTCTGTAGACCAGAGTCCTCGAGGCGATGTGAGTCCATCTGTCCAACTTCTGAAGTTTGGTCCAAACCGAATCATCAATACAAGAGTGGTCTACAGCAGAAAGGCCTAGTCAAAGTCCAAATCTCAGCCTGACTGAGATGTTTTTCTTTTCCAGGATTATCCTGCACGTTCAGATGTGCTGTGTTTCAGCGGGTCAGCGGTGTCCTGCGGCGGGGACGGCAGGAGGTCAAAGCTGCCTGAGTTAATGAGAACGTGAGTAAATTGGAGACGAGTCGGGACGCTCTGCTCGTCTTCATCACAGCCGTGAGCTTCAGCATGCGCTGCAGAACCTCTGCTGCTCGATTCTGTCTGCTGCAGCAGCGAGGCGTTCGCTGACCACAAAGGAGAGTTCTGTCACGGCTTTCAGCTAACTCCGTTCCTTAGAAAGGATTTCTCTCCACTAAGTCCTTCATTGCAGGAGCTGCTTCACATTCCAGAAGTGAAAGTCCCTTCAGGACCAGCAGGAACCAGTAGAACCAGCAAAGTGTCTCCTGCTTTTACTGTGCAGGGTGAGGCAGAGTGATTGTCCCTGTTTTCACTGGACTGATGCAAACAGCTGTTTAACCCTTTAACTCCCGTCCATCATGAAGGACGGACCTGATGACATCAGCAGCCGCTGAAGACGTTCTCCTCCCAGTCCATACTGGGAAACATAGCAGCTCCTGGTCCTGTCTGACCACCTCTTCAGGGCACATCTGGTCATCAGCAACCTGTGCTTGCTCTCCAGGTGAGTCCATATCTGCCAGAACCAGCAGCTGCTGCTGCTGCCTGGCTCCAGGGCCTTGGCAGCTGCTGCTGGTTCATGTTGGGAATTCTCCATGGAACTTCAGATCTATTCAGCAGCCTGAAATTAAACGGATGTCTTGTTGCAGCTGAATGGACGGACTCCGGTTCAGGTCCCTTCAGTGTCTGCTGAACCACTTCTCTGTTCATGACCTTTGACCTATGTATTGTCCACCTTTTCATTTTCTGGCTGAAGAACCAGATTTTTATTTTAAATGTGCTCCAAGCAATTGATGCTGCCATGCTCTCAGAGCAACAGGCCCACAGCATCACACGTCCTCCACCAAACCTACCAGAGGACTTGAGGGGACCTGCTGTCCCGCCTGGAGGGACAGGTACTGATCTGAGGACATCAGTTCCTGTCCCAGGGAGGTTATGTTTGTGATGGTGGGACAGGAAACAGATGCAGGTCGTCATGGTGATGCCACCCTTTGACTGTTGTCACCCAGGGAATCGACTTCAGTCCAGCCTGGACATAGGCCTCTGTGTCACTGGCCTACTTAAAGCCCAGCAGGAGCAGAAATCACCGATTCATAATTTAAGATTACTGATGGATCGTTGAAATCAGAATGAAATCCTCAGCTGATTTATTTTGAACAATTAAATATGAAGCTGTTCACTAAACTAATGTAACTCATTTCATGTTTGGTTCTTGAGAAGCAAGAGATGAACTTCAATAATGATAAAACAATAAGAGCCACATGATAATGCAATATTGGATGTCTTTAGAGACGGACGAAAATAAAACAAACTTCTCTCATTATTTTGACATTTAGCATAAATAATTGAGTTCCTCCAAACAGTGGATTTAGAGTCGAATGGACAGAAAATAGGATCCAAATGGGTGCAGTAGAACATGAACCCAGTAGGTTCCTGCTGAATGAGCTGGTTCTACTGGTTCCTGCTGGTCCAGCAAAGCCTCACATGGCCATAAAGTAAAATTCTCACCTCTCCGTCCGGCTGGCCTGCGGTTGGCCGCAGTCTTGCCCTCGCTGGCTGCAGATCTGATTTGTCACAGATTCATGTCTTCATGCTTCGGCTCCAGAGCTGGAAGGAGCTAGCTGTGTCAGAAGTGTGTGTGTGTGTGTATCACAGAGTGTGTGAGGCAGCATTAGAGAGCTTATGCAGCATTAGTGAGCAGGATAAGTAGGCCAGCAGGAGCCTGTTAGTTCCACCTGCTGCTGTCAGCTGATTATCAGCTCGGCTCGACTCATTCACTGCGTAATTAAACTCATTCTGGAGGTAAAATCCCAAAAACTATGTGGGTTTGATTATTGGACGTTGGTGGAAGGAAAAACTCCATCAAATTCGGCTGCTCCATGAAGGCGGCCTGCTCTGATTGAACCACAGCGGCCCAACAGGTCTATGGGGTTCTCCTGCCTCTGCTGATTAGCCTGACTTTACAGTATATGAAAAAGTTATACTGTAAAGTCTTAAATATTTTCATTTCCCAAATTTGGGTCAGCTGTTTGTTATATTTTAGCAGGACAATGAGGTTTATTGGATTCAATAGAAAATGTGTAACATGCATGAAGAAAAGACTTGAGGGGTGCAGAAATTTGGGCACCTCAGCAGAAAAATCACATTCATATTTAGTAGACTCTCCTCTGCAAAAATAACAGCCTCTGGAATTCCTGCGACACGCAACTTTAACAAGATTTTCAATTCTGGCATTGGCCACGCAGCCCCAAAGCATGACGGTACCTCCACCTAATTTTACAGTGGGCAGCAAGTGTTTTTGGAATGCTGTGTTTCTGACACCATGCGTGACCCCAAACATCAGTCTGCAGCACCTTATCCCAAACTGTAGCTGGCTTGGTTCTGGCAAGCTTGCAGAAAAGGCTTCTGCTGCATCACTTCCTCTTCTTGGTCAAAATGCACTGAATTATTGAACGATACACAGTGACACCATCTGCAGCAAGATGAGGTCGTATGTCTGGCCTGTTCTTATCATCCTTTTTCTCTGCCTGTGATATTTGTCTTGACCTGCCACATGTGAGCTTAACTAGAACTGAGCTGTGCTCTTAATCCTTACTGTGTTCCTCTCAGTGGAAACTGACGGCAATTACTTTTTACATCCTTTCCCTAAATCGTAGTGTTGGTCTTTGTTTTCTGATAATGTGACAGTTGTTTTGAGGAGAACAACTGGCCACCTTAAATACTTTTTCTAATGATTGGATGCACCTGTCTATCAAGTTCACATCTTCATCAGCTTACCAAATCAATTTTTGTTCCAATAAATGAGTGATAAGTAGATAAAACATTATAATCAACAACATAACAAAGGTGCCTACATTTCTGCATCTATCAAATTTTGTTGAAATTATATGGCATATTTTCTTTTAGTCCACTAAACCTCATTTGAAATATCACTGAGCCCATCAGTTATTTGATATATCAAATTGAAGAAACTGATCAAACACCCAAAGCTTTGGAAATTAAAATATTTCAGATTATCAGGGTTTCCCCAAAGATTTTCTGTAAATATTCCTGGTTATACTTCCTTGTTTTTATTTTGCTTGGCCCAGACTCTGCTTCCCCACTCACTGTAGCTTTAGATACCAAAACCTGCACTGTAGTGGCGATTCAACCAAACATCCAAATAAAAAGTTCCACCAGCCACTATGAGGCACTGGGGTCCAGATTCTTGACACAGGCAAAAGAAGTTTAAGGTCCAAACTTGTTGATTGTCTTGGTTGCTTTTATTTTCCTTTTATACAAGCAATTACAATGATCAAACGTTTCTTTGCTCTCCTGCTGACCTCTCTTGCACTGGTAAAAACCATAGGCCCCAAACCCAAATGCCTGTTGGTCCTTTACCAGGCCCCTACACTTATAGAATGTGGGCTGACCCGCCTCACTTCCTGTCTGGCTTACAAATAAAAAATAGGAAAAAATAAGAAAACAAAACAAAAAATAAAATCAGTTATTAACCTGCAAATAAACTCTGTAAATAATGCAAAAAACTAGAAGTTTAAGAATAAACTAACAAAATTTAAATAGATAAAAAAATAAAGAATAAATAGCTCCAACACTGCACATTTAGTGTCAAGACATCCAGTCTTGGTGAAAATGGGTAAACGCTCATAGTTTTTGTTCCCTACAAAGAGGCCTGGTGCCCCCATCCACACGTCGAAAAGCTCTGCTGTAAGACATTTCAGCCATCTGGATAGTTCCTAGGAACCAGGAGACCTCTGGACCTTCATAGCCAGTTGGTTTCCAGAACCAGAGATGGACCCACTGAACCAGGAGCCAGTCAGATCCCAGATGCTGACTGAAACCTTGTGACTTTGAAGCAGAAATAGGTTATGGTTGTGGTTCTGCCTCCTCATACAGTTAAAGGTTCATTTGCCCAGATGACTTTTGCTGTCTCAGCTGCTCTGATCTTTAAGTCTCAGGTTCTGCTGACCTCAGATCTGTTCCAGGTGCTTTGCAGCTTGTGACTCAGGACAAAGAAATGGGTTTGGGATGTTCTGCCCCCAAGATGTGTTATTCCATGGTGGAACATGGAGGGACTGAAACGGATCCCAGGCCTGGGAATGTGATTCATCTCAACAGAAAGCCTTGTGCTCCAGAGCAGCACAGAGGAAACAGGCTGATCCAGAACCAGCAACAGAACTTCTCTCTGCAAAACATGATGTTCACACTTGCTGTTGTGTTTGACTCTGCGCAAACACAACAGAGTCTCCTTTATGTCAAGATGAGAACAGGCAAAGAGGTCTCCAACTAAACTCAAAGCGAGGCCTTCTTCATTTCCTCTGTTGGTTTGCTTTAGGATGGAGTCAACTGGCCTCCAAACCCACAAACCAACCCTTAGCTGTAGTTGGTTTTGTTCTTCACTGCTTTATTGTTTTTGTTGTCCAGAAGGAGAACATCAATTTCAGTTACATCCCATCATGCCCATTGCACACATTCAACAGCTACAAGTTACAAAACCTTCATCAAACATTCAGATTTCTGTTTGTCTCTGCAGCAACACAGATGTCCACCCTCATCTAGAACAGCGTTAAAACATGGAACCTCTCGGATACCGAGGAACATCTGTCCAACATCTGATCCTCTGGGCTGCTCTAAGAAACACAAGATTGTTCTAAAAGAAGAGACTGTTTGACTTCAGAGGGTTCAGACTCCAAGCAGACGACTTTCTGGATGTTCTGGAGGACGTTTGAGTTCATAGTCGATGATAAAAGCGTCAAGTCCGGCAGAAGAGCAGCCTGTGAAAGACGTTCCTGAACTCTGCGTTGAAGATCGTGTAGATTATTGGGTTAACAGCACTGTTGACATAACCTAGCCATGTGACCACAGAAATAAGGGTGGGACCAATGTCACAGGAACGACATAACACCTTGGTGACATGGACGGTGAAGAAGGGCGTCCAGCCAGGAACACGCCTGAAACACAAAAACAGTCTGGCATCAGTCACAGAGGAGCAAAACTGCAGACATTTGATGCAGCTTTAGAGGAAGATGTGAATTTTATGCTCCTTGGTGTGAAGCTGGTTCCACGCCAAGGAGCTCCCACAGTTTCTAATTTTACAGAAGCTACAGCTCAAGTGAAGATCAGTTTGCGTCCAGTTCTCAACTGTACTGTCCCATTCTGGGAGGCATTGTGGTCAACTAACACAGAGAGAAACCAAGTTTCACCAGTGGCTTTAAATCCACTTCAACCAGTCCTGGTCCACTGACTCCAGTCTGCTCCTTTCACCAAACAAGCTGATGCTGACATCCAAGGTTCATCCCGATGGTTGACTCAACAAAGTCCAGGTCTCAAAGACCATCTGTCCAATACTTTGACTGGACCATTGTTATGGATTCTGACTTTTCTTCTGTCACTTTTAGCCTCTCTTATCTGCTTACACACACATACTGCAGCTCACATAACCATGTTTGTATGTGACTGGTGGCGGTCATATATAATATACTGAAACTGATTAACTGACCGTTATGGAGGGAACAGACTGCAGAGAAGAATAAAAAGCTCAACTACAATCTTTTCCTCACATGGTTCTGTCCATGAGCTCAGTGGCCCGGTAACACTTGTTCTGATCCATTTGGATGAGGCTTGTAGCTTGTAAAACTTGATCATTTTTCAGCATTAAAGCCTGTTTTTATATAACCAAATCTCATTATTTCTGAAGGTAATTTACACTGAGAGGTTCCGGTCGGATCCTGAAACTGGTAAACGGACCTCGTGGAGCACAGAGCCAGAAATGAATGAAGTCCAACACCCTCATAACCCCTTGCTCTGTTGTAGATGTGCTGCTGGGACCCTTGTCCCAGTGTGGACCGAGTTTCAGGAGGCTGTCTGTGGGAGTCTACGTTAAGTCTTAGTTAACGTAGACTGATGTTGATCGTCCTGAAACTGAACTCAGAATCTTTTCAGATGAACGAGGCGGACCCGGCTCGTTAGCTGGAGCTCTGCTGCTGCTTCACATGTGATCGTTGTCAGTCTGGAGAAGATATCAAGCATCACAATGAGGGCAAACCTCCTGTGGTCCTGCAGCTGCTGCCTGGTCGTCTTCAGCCCTGTAGGCTCCGAGGTCAGAGACCTTCTCCTCATTTCTTGCAGAAGACATGTTTGGTAGTAGAGATGAACTCATCATAACATGTGGACCAGAACAGTCTGGCCATAGAGTGATCAGAACAATTTTCTAATGAATCTAAGTAGATTATTTTTAAAAAACTGGATGATGAAAATTATTAAGTTATTTTTTTTAAATCTACTTTTTCAAACATATTTGGTTCATCCTTTCAGGAAATGTGGCCTAGAATTTTATGATTCGGTTTGAAGCTGTTCTGGTTCTGGTTCTGGTTCTGGCTCCAGTACTCACCAACAACGACTGGTAGAACCTTCATGGCCTTGCGCTCCCTCCCACTGACCCGGCTGGTCTTGCTGGTCCTTCGTCCTCTCTTAGTGGCCTTTTCTCTGCGACTGCTTCCCTCCCACCTCCCGGTGGGCTCGCCGTCCGACACACTGTCCATCTGAGGGGTCATCGGGTCCATATCGGCTGCCATCACCGCCCCGTGCTGGTTTTCCTCCGTCAGCAGAGTCGCACGTGGCATTGCCATGGCGAATATGGATGGAGAGGCGGGCCTTATAGGAGGTACCGTGTAAACAACCTTCTCCTGGCTGCCAGTTGTGTCTTTAGCTCTACGAAGAGCCAAGGCCAGATGAGAAGAGAGACCTCTCCGGCCGACCCGATGGGCCTGGGAACGGCTCCGACTGCTCCAGCGTCGCAGGCCACGGAACATCCAGTAATAGAGGAAGAGCATGACTGGACAAGGCACGAAGAAGGAGCAGACTGATGAGTACACCACAAAATGATCATCCTCCAGCTTGCAGACCGTAGGATCCCGACCCGGCACCTGGTTCAGACCAAAGATGACTGGGCTGGCCACGCCTAGAGATAGGACCCAAGTTGCGGTGATGAGTGTCAGTTGGCGAACACTGAACTGATTTCTGTTGTATTTTAGGGGCACTGCGACGGCAATGTACCTGCAATATAAGCAGACATACTGAAGTCAGACTAAAGTTTAGAAGATCCCAGGAAAGGAAACATCAGAGTTTACTGGATGTGCTGAACTTTTCATCACTGATAAGATGTTCTGAACTCTGACAGAATGGGTTCACATGTTCTCTCTCTGCTTTTAAGAGCTGCAGAAACATCTAGTCATGTGCCAAGCGACATCCTCTGCTCAGCTGGTAGGCTTCAGATATAGCTTCTCACCCTCAGTCCTAAAAATATATATGTGTTGTCTCAACCTTGCTTCATTCACTGAGGTGTTTTATTGCATTTTTTAACACTTTGAAAGTTGTTAATTGGACCCATTTTCACTCATCAAATTGGAAGACCAGAAAAGAATCTGTTATCTCCATAACGAGCTGCAGTTTCATTTATTACCATGGAAAAAAAGTACATTTTTCTGTTCCATGACCATCAACGTGACCTCTGTAGTAACATGTTTAATGGCTGAAGCTTTTAATTGAATTGTTGTGGATAATAAAGTTCTAGTAAAGATCTGTAGCGGGTGACAATCATTTAAATGGAAATGTTTCCATTAAACCTGAAGGCTTCTGTCTGAAAATGTTAATGATGATTGGTGCCAGGCAGCTGCTAATGAGGTCTGTAAAGAAGGAAGCCTTTAGAAGCAGACAGTGTCTGGATAGAAGCAACATCAGGACCAAAAAGATGCAAGTTGAGCTGTTTGATGCAGGAATCATATCCAGAGTCCAGCCGTCCATCTGTCTGTCCGTCTTCCACTTGTACGAGGTCAGGGGAATCCAGACGACAGCTTTAGACTCTAACTTCTGCTTGAGGGTTCCCAAAATGTTCCAAGTCCAGAAAGGATATTTAGTCCACCCAATGAGGCCTGGGTTCTGGCCTCTTCCATGTCCCATAAGGATGAGTCAGGGAAGGAACTAGATAGACGAGATATCAGAGCATCACCTTTCAGTTTACGTTTCCACCACTACATCCTTGAACAACACCTTCATTACTGTGGAAGAAAATCTGAGAGTCCTGCCACTCAGAATCAAGACAGCAAAACACCTGAACTCCTTCACTTAAAGTAGGCAGAGACTAACCTTGGGCCAGAATCATCAGAGTTACTCGAGAGTTTTAGGTCCTCAGGTTCCAAAAACAGACTCTCCTTTCCACCACACCTTGAGAACTGGGCCATGGACACCTCAACCAGAACCCATGACAGAGATCAGACTTGAATGAGTTTGACCTGGAGAGCAAATGAACTCAAACTTGTCCTGAAAATGTGGGAGCAGTTTTTCATTTGGTTACTTGTAGGAGGTATTGAGGTGAGCTTGGACACCCTCTGTAGTCTGCAGGTACACAATCCAAAACACAGCAGGTGTTACCTGACAACCTCTCTACTGGAAGAGACAAACTTTGAGCTAAAGGATCTCTTCTTGAACCTTCACTCCCATGGCCTTCCTTGCTCCTCCCTCTTCTTATCTGCTTCAGATAAGAGAATATGTTGCGTAACATGAAGGACGATGGTTTGGAGGGTTCCAGGAGCAACTTACCGGTCTACGCTGATGGCACACAAGTTCAAGATGGAGGCAGTGCAGAGCATCACATCCATGGTCATCAAAGCATCACAGATGGAGGTGCTCAGAGTCCAGGTTCCTCCCAGGAACTACAAACAGTCACAGTCACAGTCCGTTCCTCATGAACATCATCACCTCTCCACCTGCAGAACACCTGACTGACCTCAGAGTAGACGTAGAGCGGCAGCACGAGCACGGCCAGCAGCAGATCGGCCACCGCCAGGCTGATGATGAAGTAGTTGGTGGCGGTCTTCAGAGAGCGCTCTGTGAGCACGCTCAGACACACCAGGACGTTTCCCAGGATGATGACGAGGATCAACAGGACTCCAAGAACCAGGGCCAGGTAGTTGTAGTTCCTCATGCGAGCCTCTCCTGCACGGCTGCCAGGTGTCAGATTTTCCATGATGGAGAGCTGGGTTAGTGTTGGCCTGTAGCTCTCATCTAGATAACATTGAGTCAGAGGGTTAACAAGAGAATGATAGAGGAAGGGAGCTCACCTCACTGATGCCCAACTAAAGTAATGGCTCACAGTAATGACCAGAAACCCCAAAGCTTCACCCAAAAGGTTAACAGGTCAGAAGTCATGACCCTGAACCAGTCTGGCTGCTGGGAGTAGCTGAAGAAGTCAATGTGAGTCCATCAGCTGAGGCTCGGTCCAAACTGGGCCAACAACAAACACAGCAGCAAACCAACATGAGAATGGCCTAGTCAAAGTCCAAAGAACAATAGTCATTTGGGAACCAGCATGAGGGAACTGGATACCTCGAGACGTGTTTGGAGGAAGAACCAGCCGAGCCGGACCGCCTCCTGGTCCAGGTCAGAACCTCTGACCCGGACCAGTCGATCCACTGAGGGTCATCTCATGAAACCCGGTAACTAGGAGGTGCTGCAGCACCTCCATTGAATGGAGGTGCTGCAGCCTACCTGGCGGCTCTGATGGGCTTCAGCCCCTCCTCTGGCATGTTGAGTCAGTAACCATAGCAACAGGCGTGAAGGCAGCTTCCTCCATGTGAAGTGATCATGCTAATCAGAGCGTGGAAGACAGCGGGGGCGGAGCCTCAGCAGGTGTTTCAGCAGGATCATATTTGCAGCAACAGGAAATGACATAACGAAGCAATGAGGTCATCAGATTATGATGAGGTCACATGACACTGAGGTATGTTGATAATCCATAATCGTTTCATTTATATAAATTAGGAGCACATCTGTCACATCTGCTGTAATCTGATGAAGAGGAGCTGAACTGGGGGAGGTCATCCTTTCACAATAAAAGCCTCCAGCATGACATGAATTTACATCAAAAATCAGGCAGAGAAAAAGTCTGTGATTCATCAACGGGTCAGTACACGAACCAGCAGAACCCAAAGCTTCGGCCAATCAGAGACCAACCCCCCGACCCGCTGCTCTGGAACCGGGTCGATTCCAGAGGTTTCTGAATGTCCCATCATTTCAACCAGGCTGATATCTGGACTTTGACTAGGCCTCTGCAGCAGTTTAGTCCTTCAGCACCTTCTAAAGGTTCTATTGTGTTCCGTTGTTCTGGTGACGACCCAGTTTGGAGCAGCTAACAGAACCCGGGCCGGCCATGTCAAAGTCAGAGTCTGTCATCAGATGTTCGAGGAATCAGAGTTACATTTCCTGCTGTTTGCCAGTAAAACTAAAAACTTTAAGATAATAAGAACAAATAATAAAAACATTTTAAAGACAAACATAATCCTGGAGGCAGAGACAGTGCTCTGTCTGTCTGGACCTCCTGATTCTCCGGGTCAGAACTTGATAAAGTTCTGCTGCAGTACCAGCCGGTTCTGGCTTTGATTGAATGAAAGTCGACATTTTAGCATTTCAGTAGAACCAAAACCAACAAAACGTAGAGAAAGAAGAAAAGTCAAACTCACAGGTTCAGAGCTTCCTCCTCTTCTGTCTCTCATGTCTTTGGGTCCGTCCGTCCCGTCCGTCCCCCACCTGTAGCTGCTCCTGGCTCCGCTGAAGAACTTTCTGCTTCTATAAAAAGATTCAGCACCCGAAGCCTTCCTCCTCTTCCTCACTCCCTCTCTCTCTGCTGCTGCGCTGTGATTGGCTGGCAGTCAGCAGCGATGAAGACTGCCTCCTCTTCATCAATCCAGCTGGATCTTCTTCCTCTGCTGCTGGAACCAGAACTACCAGAACCATCACTTCATCACAGGTGAGTGAGTTAATTGTTGCTGCCCAGCAGCAACAATTAACTTTGCATCAATATATGCACACTTTTTTCCTCACGTGAAAATGTGCTGCAGATGCGCAATTTTTGTCTGTGAATATCAAACGACAAAGCATCAAAATTCACCCAAATCCACTGAAGTCTGTTATTCAATTCAAGAGGCATCAAACCCCATATTTTTTATGATTTTCATATTTTATTGTTTAAACGATGAAACTGAACAGCATTTGTTTTCAGACAATAAGCTAACGCACAGAAAATAAGGAAAATCAAAGTATGTGAAAACCTCACTAGAATGTAAAAAATACATTTCCACGGTTTTTGTCTCAGACAGATGTGAAGCATTGGATGCAGCTGTGGAGTCTTTTCATTCTGAGTGAAAGAAGAAACCGGCTCGATCAGCAGATTGATCAGCAGATTGATCAGCAGATTGATCAGCAGATTGATCAGCAGATTGATCAGCAGATTGATCTGCAGATTGATCAGCAGATTGACTCCAAACTGGGCAGATTTTTGAAGGTCTTTCTTTTCTTGTTTAATTTGGATTTTTATTCTTTCTTGAGAATGTAGTTTTATTTTTGCGAGGTTACTTTATGTTCCCTGAAACATCTTTTAAATAAAATATCTCATTATTATCATTATTATTATTACTTCTGCTGCTATAAACAGTGACGTTGTCATGGTTATTGCCCCATGTGGTGGGGCAATAACCCACCACATGACTTCCAGGTACTTAAACTAATTTACATTACGGTGTATTTATGGAGGCGACAGGTGGAGCAGCAGCTGCGATCTGTGCGCGACGTGCACGGCCATGGATTTATACATCCGATTTTTTTGTGCGCTGCACTTTTCTAAATTTTTCCATATGCCAAGTTTCAGTGTGAAAACTGTGCTCTCTTTTATGCGTGCGGCCCGGGGCAGTAAGGAGCCGAGTGTGAGCAGCATAGAACTGACATCAATTGGTCCTAAGCTTGAGCCCTGAGGGACACCGTAGTGCAGACCAGAGGTGCCCAAGTTAGCTGTGAATCCTCCGTCGTGCTTTAGATGTTCTCCACTCCAAACACCTGCAGTACCTCCTTTATCCTCCAGGGGCTGCAGCAGCAGGGAGACACCTGAAACATGGAGGCCGGGTTGGGGACCTGTGGTTCTGACCTAAGGTCAGGCACTCAGATGTTCCTGAAGTCCAGGCTGACTGAAGCCAGGAGTGCTCAACAAAACCAGACTAAGGTCCAGTAGAACTTTATAGGCTCTGCTGATTCCTGATGGGTTGGTTCTGAGACATGGCTCTGGTAGGGTCAGGATCCAAGTCCAAAGGTCTCTGTGGGTCATTGTGGCTCTTCCGGACCGGTGCCGCCTCCGCCTGGTTGAAGGACCTGAGGTTCGTCTTGGTTCCTTAAAACTTCCAATATTCTTCAGGAGTGTTTCTCACATGGAGGGAAACTTCATCCACAAGCTGGAGCATCTTTAGGTCAAGACCAAGTCCAGTGTGTGAACTGGCTGAACTGGGCCGGGACCAGACATGGAATCTCCCTCGCTGGCGGAGATCTGGAGAGGTTTTTAGGACAATAACATGGTCAGAGATCAACTGGAGCGACCTCTGTGACCTCTGCTCCAGCGGCTGGAGGACCAGACCTGATTGTTCTGACTCATAATGGGCTGAGAGGAGCGGAGGATGCTGCTCATGCTAATCAGCCTGTGATATTAGCATTTGTGAGAGGAAGCTGCAGAAATGCTCTTTTATTCTCATTCATCCTGCTGGATGCATGTTTCATAAATAATTCATGAGCAAATTGAGTCTGGAGAAGAAAAATCTCCCCAGTTTAACTAAACCTGCCAAAGACACTGCAACACTTTTATTAAACTGCTGCTTCGCTGGAAAAACCTGCTGCTTCATGTAAATAACGGATTACAGAGCGAAGCTGGACTGATGAGGTTCAAGACGAGCTGCTCACACATTTCATTTGGTTGCTAATGGAGGCCATATTTATCCGTCCTCTGCAGGGCTGACGCTGGTCTGGAAGAGGTCACTGTGCAGGTTGAGTCTGTTTCCTCTGGGTTCACTGCCTGCAGGGCCCTTCAAGACCTAAAGGTTTGATGAGGATCGATCCAGAGTCGGGTTTATGGAGGGAGACGGCCTCCTGAGCCACTGGACCACGAATTGATGCTATCAAATAATGAAACAGGGTTTTATTTAAAAAAAAACTATTGTCAGGTTTATTAACATTTTCACACAGTGGAAAAAAAGGAGAAGGATAATTTGAGATTTTTAGACTCTAGAAGAGCAGAGGGCAGAGCCAGGAAGACTTCTCCATCTCAGCCTTCCAGAACCCAAACTCTCAAGTTTCTTTTTCCTGCTCTGCCTTTGATTGACATTTCAGAACCCTGGTTACATGGATTACTAGAGGAAAACAGAGAACACAGAGTCACCAGCCTATTCTAATACAAGATAAGTCTTTCGAGCAGATCCCGTGTTTCTGGGTCTCTGGGTCACAACCTTTGACCCCATCACCACGCTGCAGGCCATTTGCTTCCAATTTGTCACCATCATCACCTCCTGAAAACTACTAAAAGAAACACATATTCCAGGAGCAAACTGACAAAAAATCTTAAATATAATGATTAGTATTTATATAAGTCATGAATTTAATCCTATCAACAATATATAAAACAACAAGGATGATTGCAGTTATAATAATATACATGATTTCCAAACTCCCTTGTTTATCTAAAATCCTTGAAAAATTAGTTTTCATTCAGCTTAAAATGTTTTCAAAAGATAATAATATATAAGTGAGAATTTTTTCAGTCTGGGTTTAAAGCAGCTCATAGCACTGAAACCGCTTAGCTTCAAGAGAACCTGATCATTAAACAGAACCTGTTTAATGATCTTATTTTAACGGTTGATTCAGGCAACGTTGCAGTTTTATTACTTCTAGATCTGCGCGCTGCATTTGACACTAGATCATCAGATTCTCTTCTACAGATGAACACATTGTGTTGGCCTGAGAATCCTGATTTAGAAAACAGAACCTTCTCAGTGCATCTTGACCACTGCTGTTCTGGGGCCAAACCTTTAAAGTACGGCGTCCCCCAAGGCTCAATTTTAGGTCCTATTTTGTTTATTTTATATTTATTGCCTCTTGGTCAGATTTTCCATAAATTTAACGTTTTTGTTCATTGCTTTGTGAAAGACGTCCAGATTTATTTGCCCCTTAAATTACAAAATGG